CTTAATTCTAGGAGCAATCATTACAATTTTGAGCAACCACTGAATCACGCCTTGAACAAGAATAGGAATTAACACCCTCACTATCATTCCACTCATCTCCAAATCTGCAAATCCCACCACCCACGAGCCACTGAAGCCATAATCAAATACTTCCCCAGTACAAGCAGCTGCCTCAGCATTCATTGTCTTTTGAAGAAGAACCACTGTGACACCAACAAATTAAACCACGCAACGTCCTGCCCCTACTGACAACAGCAACTGCAGTCTAACTAGTCCCAGTCCCTTTCCATTCCTGATTCACAGAAGAACTTAATCCCTAATCACTGCTATCAACAAAAATTGAATTCACTGCCACCCATTCTTGTCCTAAATCACTCTACTCAAAATTATTAAACACCATAATCCTTGCCTCAGCAGCTCTAGGAGACTGAACTGGACTAAATCAAACACAGATTTGAAAAGTCTTAAGCATTCTCACTTGGGTTGAATAGCCTAATAATTATTATGGCAGTAATAGCCAAACCCCCCCTACTAACTTTCTACTTATCCTTCCTTATAACTGCCACAACAGTCCTCGCTCTCAACACAAACAAAGCTCAAAAAATACCAATGATAATGGCCTAAAGAACAAAAATATGGGTGAGAGCACAGGAGACAGAGACTACTCACCCCAAACTTCAGGTGGCAACAGAAAACTTCACTTTCCCAATCCCTCCCTTATACAGGACATTTGAAAGACCCAGTCTGGATGCTCTCATTGGTGTGAACCCCACTCCCCTTCAGGTCCTGGCCAGTGAGATGGCTGCAGCCTTGGGAGATATTTGGTTGGCCAACACCCTTGTCAATCTCTGTAACATCCATATACACACTAAAATCTCACTATTACTCTTATGCTCCCTAGCAGGACTTCCCCTGCTACCAGGATTCCTGTTTAAACGACTTATTATTGAAAATCTTACTAAGCAGATAATGACCAAAACAGTCATTGTCATACTCTCACTACTAGGATTGCTCCTGTGCCTTCCCCTCACATAATATTCGCCAGACACACTGCCACCACTCCAAAGAAAAGCCCTAACTATAATTCTAACCAAAATCCTGCCAAACAAAATCCATAAACCTAGATTACCATATCGCTAAAAACTAACAAAAATAAACCCTAACAATGGAAACTGCTACAGTTAATTGAGTTAAGCTTAAATATAACTCTAGCATTAACCCTAACGACTATATCTCTATCCCTAAAAATATTTCAACTAACCCCTCACCTTAAATTTAAGCCAAACACTTGTCCTAACCCTAAATGTAAGCAAAATGACTGTAAATCTAATATTAACTCCACTACCTAATGCTATCCCTATAAACAGTAACCCTAACCCTGAACTCAAAGCTAACTCTAACTTTATCCCTCATGACTGTAACCCTAACCTTAAACTCAAGCCTAACCATAACACAAACCCTTCACCTAAAACCCTAACGCTGACCATAACCCTAACCCTCTCTTTAGCACCATTTGCTGTACCTAAACCTAATGACTCAAACAAAACCCCACACAAAGGGGCTACAGAGGGAAGGTGAGGACTCACAGAAAGTGCCTCACCAGTACCCTTGGGACCATACTCCCTCAAGTTTGCAGAATCCTGGGACTAAGGACCACAGAGCCTACTGGGCAGGCAGCCCTGAGTCCCACCAGCATGGGGTTGGGCGTGATGCTGGGTGCTTTGGAGCTGTAATCACCAAGTCCTCTGAGCAGGGATCCCTGGAGGATGATTTTGATGATCTCTTCGGAGTGACTGGGTAGAATTTTTCCAATCCTTCTTTTGTTGGCAGCAGAACAAAGTGCTGATTATGTCTTTTGATCCTGGGTTCCTGATCTGCAGAGCAATGCCCACTGAAAGGTGAGCAACAGACTCTCAGCTAGGAATTACCTTGTGGGGTATATTGCTCATTCTAAATGGTAAGGCACTAATAATTTTCTTGTTGGGAATGCCTCCAATGGATGGAGGGAAATGTTAATGCATTCCAGTTGCTTTTCAAAGCTGGCAATGTGGGAAGATGGGTAAGTTTGGTGTGTGCCTCAGGGGGATTTGATTTTCAGTGATAATGGGCAGTGAATTGAATTGTATTATGTTGATTGTTATATAACACTGTACATTACTGCTTCTTTCACTTATGTTTCTGACATGGCAATCTAGTACAGTGCAAAAATTCATCCTTCCTCCAGTCACTACATCTCCAAAGGATGGTATTTGGAGACAAAGCCTTCCATTTGGAGACTAGGGTCTCACCACAGACTGCCTCTGGAATGCTACTTTTTTGGTTCCAGACTGATGAAATTTGGTTTTCCCCTCCTCCTGGAGAAATCCACAACTTGCTGAATTAATTCTCTATGCCTTCTCAATGAACTATCAATTTTATAGTTTTAGCAGAGGAGTTGCCAGTTTGGTGCAGTTAATTTGCATTTCCATCTCTTTCCCAAGGGCCGAGGTGAGGTTGACTGGCCTGATTTCCTGTGTTGTCCTTCTTGACAATGGATATATTATCTGCCTTTTCCCAGTCACTGGGAGCATCCCCTTCATTGATGTGACCTTTTAAGGATGATGAAAAGTGGCCTTGTGGCATCTGCCAGCACTTTCAGTGCTCTCAGGTTCACCCCATGTGGTACAGAATCACAGGAGTGTTGTTGTGGGTCACCTGGTCCAACCTCCATTCTCAAGGAGGGTGGTCCCAGAGTGTTGGAATCCTGGATGCTGAGAATTTTAAACTTGCTGTGCTTAAAGGCACAGACCAACAAGAGAACACTGTATTTGACCTGAGGCTGTGAAGAAGGCTTCCAAAATTGATTGATAGCACTGGGATTACAGGTGTGTAGTTGGTTAGAAGTGTGTTATATCACAGGGATAGAGTTTGGGATTTTAGAATATAGTAATAAATATGAAGCAAGATGGAGGTTTTAGGGTGGAGGCAGGTTGTTCTTCTTTACCTTCTTCTTCCTTCTTCATGGGTTTGGGTGGCGTTTTGTAATTGGGCAGAAAAGTCTGCATTGTGGGCTTCCAGGGATCAGTTATTGGGTTAAAAGGGAAAATAATCTAGGTGGACTTTCTTAATTGGATGGTTTAATCTTAAAAGACCTTGTACCAAGAGATTGTTGGCCATTTTGTGCCTTCTAATGAAAAGCTGCTGAACTCATGGCTGTGAGACTGTTTAACTGATCAGAAAAAATAAACACCTGAGTCCAAACATGAACTACCATCTCCAGTGCCTTCAACCCAGACCCAGAGAAACCGATACCAGAGCATGTGGTACAGGAATGACAACTGAAGAAGCCCTTCCTGTTGTCCTTGACTCCTTGGCCCGTGTCAGGCAGGTAGTTTGGCTGGCACAGTACAAACTGTCCTGTTTGTCCTAACACAGGTGTCCTGCGGGCTCAGGGAGGACAGAAACCTCCCACAGAGAGGAGAGCAAGGTTTGATCATGATGTTCAGTACAAACACTCCATGAGAGCAGAGATTCACAATCCTGACTCTGGGTTTTAAGCAGACATCCAGGAGACAGTGAAGGAGGAACTGCAGTCTCCACCACATAAGCAGCTCAGGCATCTAGGATGTTCTGCTCCATCCCCAACAGCCTGGGAAATTCAGGTTGCTCCTGCAAGGACTGGTCACACTGGGGAAGACAAGGCTGTCTGGGCACCCCCACCACATCTCTCCCTCAAGTGCCGCCGAGGAAAGGGCCCAGAGAGGTGTCACAGGGAACCCATTGCCACATATGGGGAGCAGGGTTGGGATTTCCACCGTGACAGACTCTGCAGGACTAGGAGCTACCAGCTGCAGGGAAGTGGAAAAACCAGTCTTCCCTCATGGTCTGTCTGGCAGTTTCTCCCTGTCCAGCAGCCCCACATCCCTTCCAGATGATATCCAAGGCCTAAGAGCCCTGTATCTCCAAAACAATCCCCAAATCACCCCTCAAGCCGTGATAGCAGTTCCACATATGCCTTTTGCTAGGCACCACCTCCATCAAGATGCAGGCATCCTGTCTTGCAGCTGGGTCCCAAAAACACCAGCCATACTCTGTATGGCCTGGTCCCCTGCCCTCTTTCCCATTGCTCCCCACACCCTCTCGCTGTTCCCTGAACTGCCCAGGAAGGAAAAGCCACTTTGCAGGGCAGACCGCGTGGTCTGGGTGAGGATTCCAAACCCAGATTTGTGATTTCTAGCTAATTTCACAAATAACTTCTGGGATAAGCACATCCAGGTCACGTTCTCACTTGAGGATATCCTGCTCTCCCTCCACTCCCCTGCTCCCCACAGACAACAAGAAGGCTTGTGCTAGAAGAAAACTGTTTATTTTTTTAAACAGAACTTTTTTTCAACCCTTGTTCCTCAGGGTTTTTTTGGTTTTTTTTTTTTGCAAAGATACAGTATTATCTGAACAACCTCTGCATATATATATATATGTATATAAAATATATGTGTGTGCATATATTTATAAACTTAAACAATCCTGCAAACTTGTGTCACTCATAGTAGCCCTTCCTGCTTCATAACAGAGAAGAAAACTCCAACAAAGGACAAAAATGCAGCTCCTCTCAACCAGAGGAACCGAACCACATCCATCTGTGGCTGGAGAGAATCCCACCAGCTCCAGCTGGGAGGCTTTGAGTGTAAATGCATTTTTTTACAGCATTTCTAGACACTGGCCATTGCTAGACAGTGCTGTGATGGGACATGTGCCACCCCCCTGTGCCCAGCCCTTGGGGACAGCACACCAAGGACAAGGAGCAGCCCTTTAACAGGTGGCAAGTGGTCCTTACTCTGCAGGTGGGCTTTCTAACTCAATTAAATACCTACAGGCAGAACTAGAGACAAGGGAAAAAGGCAAAGAGATGTCTTTCTGAGAGAGGTGGCCACAGTAACACAGACCAGCTGCCCACAGCACGTTCCTGCACATTCAAGAGTCACTGAGCAAGAAACCTCCCAGAGGAAATATTTTGTTCCATCTGAGAGCTCCTCCCTGCCTTTGAGGAAAAACAGTAACACAAACTGGTTGACAAAAAATAGAGGCAGAGGTCCAAGGTGGCAAGGCTAGGTGACAGAACGCTTCTAGTGTTAGCTACGATAGCTATCATTATCATCAAAGTAAGAATCACAATCTGAATCATTATCAATCATGAAGTTGTCTTCATCAAGGTCGTCATCATCATCATCATCATAGTCTTCCTGCCACTGTGGATCATATTCCTCATCTTCAACCTCCTTGCCACCTTCATCTGTGTTGGGGGAGTCACACAGGAGGATGCGTTTTTGCCTGTTGAGAAGAGCATAAAAGCAGAGTCTCTGCTGTGAGCATCAGCTGGGACCCAGCCCCACAACACCCTACTGTCATTGTCTCAGCATCCCCAGCCAAAGAAACTCAAGAGAGTCCAGGGAGAGCAACTTCCATAGCTGAGTGTGCCAGTGATGGAGTTTTCTTGATCATAGCTGCATACAAACAGAGGTTTTGCTCGTTTTCCTACACCACTACATCACTTAAATTGCTACCTCAGGGGGAAACCACAAAACCACAAAACAGGATGCAAGTAATCAGTGTTTGCAATTCACTCTTTTGTATGTCAGTGAGCACAGAAGAAAACTCTGCTCACCTGCTTTTTGTCTGCAGTCACTCACCTTTCCCTGTTACCCCACTAAGAAAACTCACCCTGTACATGCAAGGGCTGAAGCAGGCACATTTGCAAGTTTCAACTTTCTCTGAACAGCATCTCCTGCAGTCTGGAGCCCAACATGGAAATCCTGTTAGCAGCAAAGAACAGCCAAAAGAGACACAAACACTATGTAATTCGGGGTGTATTTTGCACCACAAACCCCTACCCTGCACACACACAACCCTGAGTCTATCCCCTCAGCTGATCAAGCCCTTTAGTTTGCTCACAGTCAAATCAGACCAGAGCAAGACAAGCCACAAACAGCCACGTGGCCTTCACCTGTGTGGAGTGCCAGAGAATTGCAAAGAGACGCTCCTTGATCTGCCGCACCAACTCCAAACCCGTGTGGAAGTGCTCTGCTTTCAGGAGCTGAAGAGAAGTGGCCAGGTCCTGGTACTGCAGCAGGGTTTCCTCTGCAATTCAAGGCCAACAAAGTCATGCTGCATCCCACACTCCTGAATAGAGACCAAGTCCTTGGCTCTGGTTATTAAGCCAGCCATAGCTGCTTAGACCTCCTGTGCAAATTCCTCTTTCAAACAGAACGTGTTGCTCATTACTGCATCAATCTCCACTGGCAGCCAAACTGCTCCAGTGGACTTCCTCAGAAATGACATCAAGCAGGCAAGGACTGGACTGGGAGAAGTGAGGCCAGCTGGGTGTTGGTATATATGCCCCACTACTGAGCTGCTGCTCTTTGACTACAGCTAGAAATGCTAGTCACAACTTCAAGGAGGCTGCAGGACTTACCCAGAAGGATCTGCAGAGCATTAGTGAGCAGCTCCAGGCTCTCAGTCTGCTGTTCCACAATATCCATGCTCTCAGTGTCCTGGTTATAGTAGCTGTACACACAGGAGTAGGCCAGCACCTGGAAAAGTACACATCATCTTGTTAAGCACCCTCTTTCAGCTTCAGAGTGGGCAAGAAGGAAGCAGCATCAATCCCCTCCAGACCTCAATATTATCAGTGGCCTCTGGCCTGTGGCCATAGCCCAGTGACCCATTATGACAAGTGACAGCAGTGCTCAAGCTACTGGTAGGATTGGAAATGAATGTGCAATTATTTTATATTAAAGTCTGAAATAACTGATTTTTCCCACCTGCAAACCACCACAAGAACACAGACTGTAAATGCATAACAAGTGTGACTGACCAGTGGGCAAAGAGTCAAACCCATCAGCACACAGGACTAGGCAATGCTGGGCAGCCCAGGCTGAACAAAAGTGGCAGTGAACAAAGAGAATGGAGCCCAAAGGGAAGCAGGCATGGTGCTGTACAGCACCAAGAGCCCACAACAAAGGCATTTCAACAAGTGGTAAACTCCAGTTATGAATTAATGACCCCTAAAGCCATATAGGCACCCAGCAGGGAATGAGATCACTGTTTCTATTTAAATAAATGAGCCAGAAAACTCAGCAGCAGCAGCAACAAGCAACAGTGATATGTACCCCAGAAATATCAGGGGCTACTACACTGAGAAGACAAAATAGGGTCAGGCACCCTTGTCCCACATGCCTCTCTCAAAATCAAGCCTACCTGCAAAACCAAGGTGTATATGCAAAGTCAGCACTGCAAAGAAAATTCCCACCTGCCGATGTTTCAGGACAGAGCAGGCATTGCAGACCTAAGATGTCACAGGCTTACTGCACACACACAGTGGCTGCACCACAAATCCTTTTTAGTGTGGCTATGAGGACATGCAGTGGATAACTCACTGCTTCCAAAATATCCATAGTTCATGAAATGAAGTTAAGAGAAGAAAATCCTAACACGAGCATCAAGAGGAACTTCTTGACTGCAACACAGCATCAGGAGAATTTTCAAAGTACCTTCACTGGGCATTTCTAATAGGAATGGACCAAACCCAGTGGACGAAAACCCTAAATATTGACTTTGTGTTGATTCTATGGTGTCAACTTGGGCTGAGCTCCAAATCCTGTGACCTTACTGTCAGGAACACTGGAAACAGAGCTCAACTCAGACTCAAAGCAGGGAAGGGCAGACATGAGCTCTTCCCCTGTCCTGATGCTAATCCTCCCCTCAAGCTTTCTCCGTCTTCTCTTTTTTGGAGAACAAGGTTGGTGTCTCCTCACACCAGCAGAATTAAGTCTAAACCTCAGCAAGACTATATTATCCAGCCTTACCTTCCGTGCCTGTTCTAGCACTTTGCAGGCATCAAGAACAAAGGTCAAGTTCCTAATTTTTGGCATCTCTCTGATGGAAGAAATGCTGTTCCTCAGACTTACAGCAAATTCCTGCAAAAACCAAAGGAGGGGGAGAAAAAAGTCAATGTCACTGTCAAGCTCCACAAGATTGAAAAAACAGCACCTTCCACACAAATAATTGCTAAGCATTCTGAAGTGCCATCCCAGAAGATGCAAGCAGCAGAAGAGCATTTAATGCATCCAACTATGACACTTCTACTGTGCCATCACTTCAACCTTTTACAGCACCTCAGTTCTGAGCAGAGCTCAGCCTTCAGTCATCATTGCTTCCAACTCCTGCACCACTCTGAGCCCCTCAACACCACAAATCAGGTGCTCAGTTTCCACAACAGACTGAAAGAGAGAAAGCAGCCAAGGACTGCTCCTTAATGTCAGAGCCAGGGCAAAATGATGATCCAGTGATCCCAGCCGGGATGTGAAGCCTGATTCTAAGCAGAGAAGACACTGACACAACAGAAAGTGCCCTGCTCACCAGGGCTGAGCAGCAGTCAGCATCTGCAAAGGAAGGAGGAGGCCTTACCCTTGCGTGGTGATGAAAGGTGCATCTCTCATTGTAATCCTGGAAACGCTTCTCCTGCCAAGCTGCTTTACTCACCTGAAAGGAAAGGTACAGGAACTTTTAGCAATTTCCCTCGAGTACCAGGGCTACATGGAAATGCCAGTATTACTGGCAAATTCACAAAGTCTAGAGTAAAGGGCCTAAGTGGAGATCCTTACCATCTCTGAGAGGCTACAGGGGTCTCTGAACACAAACATGAACCAAGGAGATACAGCAAACCACTCACCATAGCAGAGCAGTTGTAATAATCCTTGTGATTCGGCCTCCAGGGCTTGAGGCAGCGCCAGCAGAAGCCATGATTACACTTTGCACATGTCATACTGCAGAAGGACAATGGGAATTGCTCAGTCCTGACAGCAACTTGCACACAGTTCCTGGCAGTGCTTCCCTACACCACAACCAGGGACTGTGCCACTCAGTCACAAACACAGTAACAAACAAAATTGTGTACTCACTGCAGGCACCCCTCATTTTTCTCTATCTGAGCCTGGCAGTTTGGGCAGTGCTTCGAAATGAGCTTAGCCAGGTGTTTGCTTTGGGCTTCACTTGTCATTCCCTCATAGTATCCATCATCATCCACCCACCGAGACATGTGGCTGCAGCTGGCAGGATAATGGGCCTGAGAGATAGAGAAAGGCAATCAGTCAACCACAGAAAAGCACAAGGGTGTGCGCCAAACCTAAGACAGTACAGCCTGTGATCCAGCTCAGCCTCACCTCTGGGAAGTTGCAGTTGAAGCAGGATATCCAGGAGCACTTGGAACAGGCTGCTCCATAACCAAGTCCATCTTTAAGGAGGATCTGATCACAGCCCTGAGGGTTGGTGCACCATGTCAGGTTGGAGCAACACTCAACATAGCGTCTGAGGAGGGCTTTTTCATACTGTAATGGGAAGCCAGGAAAGAGATTTAAGCCTGAGAAGCTGCATGGTCAGGCCTTAAAAGCAGTGTCTGGTGCTCTGGGCTCTGCATCTCACCAAACTGCTCACAATAAAACAGCACTCAGTCAGTTTACCCTTTTGTGTTCATTTTTCTATCCCCACCATGCCATACCTGGAAGCTGTTGCATTTCATAGAATTGCTGTGGTTGGAAAGCATTTCTGGAAATAAAACCTAGTTCAACCTCTCTTAAATCAGGATTGCTCAGGATTGTGTCCAGTTGGATTTTGAATATACCAAAGCACAGAAACTAGAAACCTCTCTGCCCAAACTGGTACCATGCAGTGGGTGACACCATGTGTCACTACCCTTACTATTGGGAAAAAAACCCCAACCCCAACAAACAGTTTTCTTATGTTTAAATATAATTCCAGCATTAGATCTTCGTACAATAATCTAGTTATTTTGAGCTCAGGATTGGACCAGAGACCTCCACAGATTACTGCAACCCAAAATATTCTATGACTGTATGTGTGACTCTGCATCAGACATTAACACTCCAGCCACACCACTTACTGATCAAAAGGAAAACATAACATTTCAGTGAGAGCATCAGAGCAACTTGTTAAAATTACCTGCTATTTATGTCAACCTGCAATAATTATTTCTTTTTATAAAACAGTCACAGCAACAGGCTACTAAATCCTGCTTTCAGACAGGTGTGACTATGGGATTTGCAAAAGCAGTAAGGACTGACTGTCCAGATATACGCATTAATTCTCCAAACACTTTCTACAAAAAACAAGCCAAAAGATACAACTGTCAAACAACAGAGCAGGGGAAAAGAGACTGTTCTACCCAGCAGTTAACAAAAAGAGTCTGTCATGTGACAGCTACAGCTCTGCCATTCGGTGGGGAAGGCATTCAGCCCTAAAAACTGAAAAAACAGAAAAAGTAGCTTCTGCTTTAGAACAAGCATCTATTGCTGTAGCCTGATGACCAAGGAGTAAGGTAAGCAGAGCTCAGAAAGCCTGGTTCAGATAAGTCTGTAGACTCACACAGACTCAGAGTGAAAATTAAGTCTGATGTGGTAATTCCTGCCATCTTCACAAAAACCTGAACTGCTCAAAGCCAGAGACCGATGGAAGAGAAAGGACAGAGGGGTCACTGATGCAGCAGTAAAATGAAATTGCTCATGTTTTCATTTGGCCTTAATACTATTATTATTATTATTATTAGTATTAGTATTATTATTATTATTATTAAATTTCTTCCAGCACACCAGTAGAGGATACTTGTCATGAGCTGCTACCATGGCTCTCATCTAGCCCTGATCTAATGATGTCCCTAAAATGTTGCTTGCTAGAGATATATTTAGAGGAAACACCACTGTGTTCTTTTGTTGACGTTATGCTTTCCTGAACAGCTGGTATTGACCATAATCAGAGAAAACAGACAAAATCTGGCTGGCCACCATTATCACACTGCCAGTCGTGGTAACAGGAAGGGGAAAAGCAGCAGCAAAATTATCTGATAGTGCTGACCAAAATGTAAGAGAGCTTGGACAGCCAGCAGCCACCCCTCCTGCTTCACCTTGGCTATGATCTCCTCGGAGGACACGATGGAGTAGATGAAGGCTGTGGTGGGCTGAGCACGGCACTCGGATATGGGACAGGTGCAGTTGACAACCATGTTCTGCTCAATGCGAGTTGTGAGATACTCCCTCCAACAGGGCTGGCAGGGCACAAGAGCAGAGATCAGGCCTAAGCAGGGCTGTGTGACCCTGGAAGCCCTCCCCAGCCAGCAGAGGGTGCACAAAAACCCACAGATCACTACCCCAAAGCACAAAAGTGGGAATACACAAACCAGGGAGTCAAGCATCACAACAAAGAAGTGAGCTAAGAGAATGCACAAGTTCTGAAAAATCCCCTAATAACAACTTCAGACAAAGAACAGCTGCTCCAAGTAGACAGCAGCAATTCCCTGTCAAGTAGCAGGAACCAAAGGCCCCAGGACCTTCACCTTGCAACAGTAGTGCATGCAGCAAAGGGTTGGTGGCTTCTCAGTGGGACACAGCTGGTTCACACAGACTGGGCAGTGGGTTCCAGGGCTTGGGGGAGGCTGGACATCCTGCACTTGCAGCCCTGAGGAGATGAGCAGGGCCTCACGGTTCTCCACATAGCACTGGATCAGGAAATCCACATTCCACCTACAGTGCATGAGGAGGTGCCGAGAAACATCATCTGGTATGCTCAGAGTATCCTGGACCTGCTGTACTGTCTGGTTCATGAGCAGCTTTGCCTCCTCTGGACTGAGCGTGTGCCCCATTGGCACCTGCAGCATTGCCATGAGATATTCTTCCACCCTGTCTGTGCCAGGATTCCGCCTGACATGGAGAAATGTGCCATGATCACACAGGGTGGAAATGCACACCCCTCCACACCTGGTGACATGCACGCTTACCAGTGCAGGCTGTCTCTGCTGTCCTCCTCCAGAGATGCCTGGGCTGGCCTGCACTGGAAAGTCATCTGTGCTTGGCCGCCAAGAGGTGCTGAGGATTCAGCAGAGATGTATTCCAAGACATGAGGCCTCCCCTCCTGGCGCCGGAGATAGCCCTGGTTCAGCAGGTGCAGGATGCAGGACAGCACGTCCACGCTGTGGCAGCAGAAGCTCAGGAACTGCACCCCTGGGCCCAACTCGCCCTTCTGACAGGCATCGATCACCTAAGGCAGCAAGAGAGCCCCAGTGCAGTGGCTGCAGCCCCCAGGCAGCTCCTGTGCCCCCTGTGCCCCCTGCACCCCCGTACCCTGAACACCAGGTTGTCGATGTGCAGCTGCTTCTCCACCTTGAGGATGCGGGTGATGAGGCAGCACAGGACGTTCCTCTTCCTTTCCAGGGCGCTCACCTCGGCCCTCTCTGTCCGCAGGTAGCGCTGCTGGGGCAGCAGCCTCAGCTGGCGGCCGGAGCTCTGGGCCAGGGCTGCCTGGTTCAGCCGCAGTGCACCTGGAGCCAGCCCCAAGCCAGGCTCAGCCAAGCTGGAGCTGGGCCCTGAAGGAAGCCACGTGTGGCTGGGGACACAAGCTGGGCCTCCTGCGGCTGCCTGCACCGCTGGCCACCCCAGCCCTGTCCCCCACGTGTGGCCCCAAGCCACAGCCACACACACGGCCCTGGCCCAAGCCCACACAGGGACCAAGACCCACCCACCCAGCCATGCTGACCCAGGCCCCCTGCATGTCCCCAGCCCCACCCCACACATCACCCCCAGCCCTGCACTGGCCTCAGGCCCCACCCTGACACACACACCTGTGCCCCGAGCACCAACACGTGGACCCAGCCCCCTGACCAGCCCTACCAGCTCCTGCACCCTAAGCCCAGCACCCCCTGCCCAGCCCCTGCCCTGGGTGCCCCAGCCCCGTGCTCACCCCCTGGAGTGCAGCTCCCCACCAGGACGCCCTGGCCGTGGGTCAGCGGGGTCAGTGCGTGGTGCACCAGGTCAGCAGGGAGCCCCGTAGCCTGCAGCAGGGCCTCCACAGCCACCTCCTGCAGCACGGGGTGGGAGGGCAATGGCCAAGAGTCACTGGCCCTGCCTAAGAACGGGGTCCCGTGCCCCAAACACCGCTGGAGATCCAACATGAAGGCAAGGGAGGACACGGCCCTGCCACGCCCCAGCCTCCACCGCCTCCCTGGCCCCACCATGGCTCCAGCCCCTACCTGGGCGCTGTTGAAGCACAGCAGGATGTACATCTGCAGCGTGGACACGTGCAGGACGCAGTCTCCATACTGCAGCTCGGCGTGGCCCAGCCACGTCCACTGCAGCCGACGGGGCTTCGTGCACTCCCAGCCCAGCTGGCTCTGGCCTGCCGGGGACAGTGTCAGGGACAGGGACGGGGACCAGCCCTGCCAGGCACTCCCAGCCCACCACCACTTGTGCCTGAGCTGCCCTCGAGGGTCTGGGCACACCCCCGGCCACAGCACTCACTCTGCCGGCAGAAGTCAGCAAACTCATCCAGTGGGGAGCTCAGCACCGCCGGGAAAAACCTCCCAGGGTTCTCCATGTAACAGAGCGGGGAAACGGGCCAGCAGCGCGGGGACAGGGCCAGCACCTTCACCTCTGGCACGTCTGCCACTGCGGCTGGTCCCAGCACCTGGGCACAGGGGCACGAGGGCAGCTCAAGTCAGGCTCCGGGATCCCACCAGGAAAGCCGGCAGCCTCCAGCCTCCCCACGCCCCCATCCCGCTCACCTCATCCGGGCCCGTGTCCAGCTCCAGCAGCCGCTTGTCCTGCTCCTGCAGCTGGAAGAGGCAGAACTGCCGCTGGAGCTCCTCCGACTCAGCCAAGTTGCTCAGCATATCTTGGGGAAAGCGGCTGGGGAAGCACAGCCCGATCTGCTCCACGATGCCTCCTTCCAGCCAAGATGGCCCTTGTGTCAGGAGCCGGTCCCCCAGGTAGTGCCTGCCGTGGCCACCAGCTCCAGTCAGGGCTGGGCCCGAGCCCTGTGGCCGTCAGCCACCCACCAGGAGACAGCCACAGGTCCAAGCCCAGCCTCACCCCACGGACCTGGCAGCACACATGTGTCCCCTCCCTGTCCCCTGCAGGGA